CTGTTCCCCTGAGCACCGCCAGGAGTGACCAGGAATAACGGTCACAAGCTGGCAGAGGGTAGGTTTAGGTTAGACATCAGGAGGTGCTATTTCACAGTCAGGGTGGCTAGGGTCTGGAACCAACTTCCAGGAGAGGTGGTGCAGGCTCCTACCCTGGGGGTTTTTAAGAGGAGGTTAGATGAACACCTTGCTGGGGTCGTTTGTCCCCAGTACTCTTTCCTGCCATGGCAGGGGGTCGGACTAGATGATCTGCTCAGGTCCCTTTCGACCCTAGAAACTATGAAACTATGACTTGTGAAGCAACAGTATGGCATACTGAATCGAGACTATGTTATGGATCAATCAGAGAGAGGTGTACATGAGTGTCTCACATGTAAAATTTGGGAACTTTATAACATGATCTTCAGAGACCATGTGAACAGTCTGCTGAATTAACACTACAGTAACAGTAAACTTACTGAAATAAATCACAAGCTATGAAGCTTGATGGTTATTCTGGAACCTCCTTTTCCATAGTAAAGATACTTGGAAACAAAAGTCAGCTCATGGCATTGTCCCAGGCTCATGGCATTATCAAAACTAATTGAAGGCAAGATGTCATAGCTAAAATTGAAGTGCGAGGAGTCTGGTTATCCACATGAGGATAAGGACACTGAAGGCCTGGAGAAACAGTTATGAATTGGACCCTAAGAATAAGTTTGTGGCCACAGAACTTCTTGGAGTGGCACCCTGAAGAATTCCTGAGCAGGGAAATTGCCTATTGTTGCTTGTTTCCACTGTGTTTAAGGAGAGAGGATTTTATAGGGTCTTTGTCAATGAAGTTTACACCAAGGAAACACATGAGTCATATAATCAATTTTTCCTCCTAATGGAAACAATTCTGGAAGGCCCTGAATGTTGCTTAATTGTTTAGATTTAATTAAATGGGGCAACATCTATTTGTAACACTGGGATTCAGCCACAAAATTATATTCCACTTGAGTGAGCCACGTGCTAACGCAGTATAAAAATATGAAGGTAAATCCTAGAACTATGTCACATCACAGTAACCAAAATTGAAGACTGGAGTACCAGAAAAGAAACCAGTCTTGCAAAAGTGGGACAGCATTTTGGGTAGAATCCTATTTCATATTACACTCCCAAATGGCCATTACCCTGTTGTGTATTTCTGCCAGTTATCCACAGTTTATGAACCTACTTTATGGCCGTCTGAAGTATAACAGTTTTCAAACCACTAGAACTGTTAAAATGTTCTCATATCATTAAAATATTCTAAAAATAAACATATTTTTATGTCGGATGAATGGAATATAGAACGTACTTGTCATTGCACAATTTATATCTGATTAGCTGTGGAATAAATGTATGCTCTGTAAAAGGGAAAATAATTGTTTATATTTTGGGAAATCAGTATTAATATGCATATAGTTTTCATTTGTCTCATTATCACTAAATATGTTACAGTTTAGTAGGTGACAGGTTGACCTGGGGACAGGATAGGAAGTCTTTGTTTGTATTAGTAACTCTGCCATTAGCTACTTGTGGGTGTGTCTACATGAGACACTTTACTGAGCAGTAGACTAATTGACTGTTCAGTAAAGCATTACCATCTACATGCGCACATCACTTACTGTGCTGTAAATGAGTCTACTATGCAGTTAGCTAATACTGGTAAATACAGATAGTAAACTAACTGCACAGTAGATAATGCACAGTAGCACATGTGGAAACACTGACCAGGAGCAAATTTGCTCCCAGTCAGCCCCAGCACCAGTGGGCCACAGGAGACAGGGAACTCCCCTGGTCCTAGTGCTGCTCAGCTCCTGGTCCCCTCCAGGATCTGGGAGCCAGGCAACACTGGCACAGGATAGCTCTCTGCCCCCCAGTGTCCTGGCACTGTTCAGCTCCTGGCTCCCCCCTTGCATAACCAAGTACTAAATGACTGCACAGTAACTGGCATTACTAAGCAGTAGTGCTCCTGCATGGCTTCTGGGTGATGCTAACTATACAGTAGCTCCTAACTACTGCACAGTAGTGTCGCTTCACAGTTCATGCAACGTGACACTACTGCACAGTACTAACAAGCTACTGCACAGTATTAATATAGACATGGCCAGTAAGCCTTTATAGAATTAACAGCATTGTGTAGACATACCCTGTGTCATCTGGGAAATCTCTCACTTCTTTGTGCTTCAGTTTGCGCAAGCCAGGACCAGCCTGGTATCAGAGGCACCCCAACTTAGGCATCCCAACATCTAAAATCTAGGGGTTGAAGTTCAGGTCAGTGATCTGATCTGACCAGGTTAGGGAACCCTATACTCTTTATGGGAATACTTAGTTGCTTCTGAAGAAGCAGATTCAGTTGACTGGACACCCTATACGGAGAGAAGCATGATTCAGTTTGACTGGACACTATACAGGGAATGGATAAAAAGTCCTTAGTAAATGAATGTAGTCATGGTAAACAATAACACAAATTTAAAATGCTCAGTTCACCTCAGATAAGTAACATCTTTATGCATTACTTTCATGTGGAAGTCACTGGCTTACCTAGGATGGCAAAAATAAATGTTCGTTATTTGAAGCACCACATCTGAATAGGAACTTTGTGACATATCAGAAATAACTCACCTGTGTGGCTGTTTCTTTTGAAGTATGTGTTCGAGGTGGATTTAGATTTGGATGTCAAGTAAGTTGAGTTGGAGGCAATAGAACTAGAGGATAAGGATTTCCCCAGATTGTCCGAACTTTTCTTTATAATATTTGTTGCTGTCTTGCTCCAGTCTGAAAATGAATAGACAATTTTTAAACAATTAATTTCAGTTGGAACCAAGCTCCTATTTTTATCAGCTACTTAAATTTCAAGCATCAGATGCACTTTTTATATTACTTAAAACAGTTGCCTGGTTTGTTTCTTCTCTCATGGATTTGCTTTAGGAATAAGAGCCCACCCCCAGAAGCTTGCCTGGAACCTGTAGGTGCTGTGGGGCATTGCCTTGCTGCGTGGCTGCCCTGGGCCCAGAGGCAGCGGGGCTGGAGGCCCAGGAGGGTGAGGGCAGCCCTGCTGGTGGCATCCAGCAGCCTGTCATTGGAGTCCCTGCTGGGGTCTGGCCATCTGGATGGTGTCCAGGGGGCAGCTAACTGCATGGCAGCAGCTCTGGGACAGTGCACTGCAGCACTGTTGCTGTATGTGAGGAAGCCAGGAAGGTCCAAACAGCCATAGGCCAGCTGGTGGTCAGCACAGTGGGCCAGTAGGGCCAGCATGATGGCCAGCAGGAGCCTGGGGTGCTGGTCATTGCTGCCAGGGGCAGGGGCTAGATCAGCCATGGTATGTGTAGGCAGAGGTAGTGGGCTGTTGCGTGCTACCCCTGTGCTGTGCATGCTGCTTCTGGCCAGGGAAATGGCTGGCCATGGAGCACAGAGCAGGGCTGGCTTTTCAAAATGACTCATTGCACGGCCACAGGAAGTTGCATCAGTTTGCTGCTAAGAGCAGCAAATCTGCTGCCACATCCCTGCACCTGTAGATTCCTTCCCAGGAGCATTTACTCTCAGGTAATTTACTTGCAAGTAAACTGATCTCAGATCAAATGCATGTGTAGATGCACCCTGTGTTAACCTGTTCACGGTATGATATGTTTTTTCATTATAAATTGACACAGTAAGGTGGATCACAATTTACAGTGGTCATTTACATGCAGGCATTAAAGTCATTAGGAAAAAACTGTCAGAAGCTAAACTGCCTATGGCAGTCACTTAAAACCTAAGTGACCAAATACTCTCAAGCCAATGATGCTAAGTCAAATATTCATATTACCTGGGGGTGAGATCAGTACCTGGTATAAAACTGCCATAATCAATAAGGCGAAACCAGTTTACACTAGCTAAGTATTTTACCCATTTTAAAATACTGAAAGACTTGTTGTAGGAAAACTAAAGGGATTTCAATAACCATGATTACAGTATTACAAAACTTACCAGCTGGCAAACTTAAAGCAAGGTCTCAAGACTTTTTTTATTAAGTTTTATCTAAAGACCCCCCGGCAACTGCTGTTATTGAAACAATACACTATTAATCATCATACTCCTTGCTCTTTCCACATCTGTGGCCTGAACTGTGTAGCTGTGTAAGCTGCCCATCAGCCTTTTTCAGCTTACTCCTGGGTCTAAGGAACGGAGCCTGTTTTTACCTGAGTTGTCTGCCAGCCGGAATCTGCCACAGCAGAGATGTCTCCTCCATTGTTTCTGCACATTTTCTTTCATAGCACAGTGGAATATAAATATAAATAAACCTGTAAGCAATGCAAAAAACGATTGGCAAAGAGTTTAAAAAGGTTAAAAAAATATTAAGAAGTATTGTACTTAAGGGAGAAAGATGTATATTTTTTCAGAAACATATTAAGAAAACCAGTATCCCCTGATTCCTACTGGAATCAACCAGAACCACTGAGGTGTGTAATGTAAAAGATGGTCAAGCCAATGAAAGCTTACTTGTCCTCTAATTCTTACAGCCTCAGAACTTGCTTTGAATTGAATGAACCATTGAAAAGTTCAAAATCAAGACCGGAAACCAAGTACTGGGATATATTTTCCTATTAGGGAGTTTTTGTCTGTTTAACTCTTCAGGTACCAGACTTACAGAGCTAATATTATTAAAACCTGGAGGCTGGAGGTCTTTGTACCAAAAAAGTACACACAAAAAAACAGCACCTGTATGTTCATGTGCATTTCCTGAAAATAAGCCTAAACCTGGAGAAAATATATTTGCAGACTACAACATGGGCACACAACTAGTGTTTTCTAAAAGTAATTACCTGGTTTGCTCATACTGTTGCAGTAAAGGTGTCCACAAACACATGCCTGTTCTGTAGCAACCATGGTTTTTTTGCATGCCTATTTACAGCCTTCACATTTAAGAATACCTTGAGTTTCTAGGATTGCTAAACATTGATCAACTCAGATTGATGGCATAACTGCAATAATTCCCCAAAGATATTTCAGTGCTAATTTTGATACTAGAAGTAGTTTCTTGGCTCTTCATAGGCAGGTATTAGTTGTGGAATCTTCCATTTCTCTTTGGCTTGGCTGATCCCTGCTTCATTCTCATTTACTGAGACACTGCCAACACAATGCTGAACACCTGAGGCAATTGCTACTTCCAGATCCATATATAATTACATCTGCAAAGTGATTTAAGTGTGTTTTATTGCAGGCCAAAACACTTAACTGGGGAACCTTGAGATTCTTCCTTTATCCTCATCATGAGTAATACTATGGGCTAATGCCCACAGACTTTTGGATAGAAGAACAAAAGAACAATGTGTAATTTGGAAAGCATTTTTCCCATCCATAAAATAATCTGTTCTGTATCCACTGAAACTCTGGGTAATGAAGCACCTTTGCATGCACACTGGTCATGAACCTGAGCTTCTATAACTTTAAAACAGTGCCCATACTGGAGGCAATGAAGTCAGGGTGGATCCAGTCTGGTTGCTTGTGGTAAAGATAGTTGAATAATGAATAACCCTATTTGCAAATGAATTGATGGTTGATAAAAAGAATGCGAGAATATAATCTAGAAAGGGAAAAAAACCATTAACCTCTTTTTCACATACATTAGCCCCTTGTCAGATATACTTTATACATTCAGAAAGACTGAATTTGCACTTGGGCCATGATGCAGCGAAGCACTAATGTATATGCTTTAAGTATGTTAGAAGTCCACATTCTCACATGCTTAAATATATGCTTTAAAGCCTCAGTCTAGGTCTTATTGTGCCCCTTCACTTTTTGCACTGTTGCAATCGTAATTACAAAACTTAACGCAGAATTAAATTATTGTGAAAATTAGGAACACTATGCAAAGGTAAACAAGGAAAATACATAAATGTATGGTAAGAAAAACAGATGCAATCCCTTTGCCATGTTTGGGCTTAGTCCTTAAGATATAATTTTCAGTATTTAATCATTCATGAAGTTAGCAGTGTGTGTCAATGACACAACTTGTCTCTGAAAGCCAAATTCAGACCCCAGGGGTGGCTCTAACTCAGTTCTCACTTACAAAGTATTTGGCTTGTGCAGGCATATGTAAAATTAGTAGCCAAAAAAAGAGATGTTTCTAGTGTTTTACTCTGAGTATCAAAGCAAGAAAACTGTCCAGAAGATCATTTCCTATGCAGATGAAAAGATGAAAAACAGTAATACCAGTAGTTACTACCATCCACCAGATGCCAAGGCATAAATGAGTCTAGAGATATAACTTATGACCAATACAGTTTCATAGAAATCAGAGGTGGGGAAGACTTATTTATCAAGGGTCTGATCCAAAGGCCATTAGAGTTAAAGGATGTCCCTAATCCATCAGCCTGCCAAAGCAGGAAGTGCTTTCCAGTGAATACTACAGTATTGCTCACTGTTCTTATAAATTATTCCAACAACGGGGCTTAACCTTATTCCTGTGGGAAGACTAGAGTTTGCTGTTCTAAATATTTCCTGATACAACTCCCAAATTTTCCTTTAGTCAGTTTTACCTCATTACTTCCTGGTGGTCTCCAGCCTCCGTGATTTTGTTACTCTTCTATGAATTTTCTCAGCTTCAGCAAATCTTTCTGGCACTGAGATACTATATCTCATAGCAAGCTAATAATCAATTTTCAGTTTTTTCCCCCTGTGTTCACTTATTAGGTATTTGCAATGGTGACTGTGGGGTTTGGTTAATTTTTTGACAATATTGTTGTTTTCATGTGTATTCAATACAAGTGTATCACTTTCCCATTGAAAATAGTTATTTTCCCACTGAGATTCATTGCTTGAGCCTGCAAGTACACTATACATAAAATGTCTAATGAAGGCAATAGAAGTTCGGCTAAGAGAATATTTGCTGAATCTTAGCTTGTTCTCTTTAGCTGCTGAAGGTAGGACAAGAAGGAAGGTTCATGTTAAACCCCAGAATAATGTTCCTCTATGTAGAACAGCTAAATATTGGAACAAGCTGCCTAGATAAACTGTAGAATTCCTTCTGTGGCATTAAGAGGCTGGATAGGGATGTATCACAGATAATTTTGGTACGATTAAAAGCTGTGCTCATGTGGGAGGTAGACTAGATGACTCCTGAATTTCCTTTCAGTCCTATGTTTCTATGAGTCTAGTCTGTAATTATTCTCGGGGGGGGGCATCTACATGTGCAATTTGATTTGCAGTTATAAAATCCAGCACATAACACACCAGAGTTTAGTGCTCTCAGGTGCTGCGTTTACACGTGCAACCAGGACTGCTGCACACTGAGCCGGGGTGGAGCAGCCCCAGCTGGCAGGGGACCCAAGGGATGAGCCTGCCAGCTTGGGGCTGTTCCAGCCCAGCTCAATGTGCTGCAGAGGGGCTGGCTGGGGCATGCAGATGTTCCAGTGTGGGGCTAGCCAGCAGGTAGGCCTCACACTGAAGCATCCTCATGTCCCAGCCAGCCTCAGCAGTGTCTACACGTGCGTTTCCATGGAGTAAAATATTCTGCAGCAAGGTAGTACTTGTAAATACTGCTGTGGAGTTTATTAGTTTTCTGAGGCCTGATTGGGCTGCATGTGTAGATACCACCTTTTAGCCATTTTCTTTAGCATCTCAATTTGAAACCAAACCAAACCAAAAAAACCACCACATTATGCTCTTTCCATGAAAGCCCAATACATTTTTAGCAGTAAATTTGTCTCATCTGTAGCAGATAGAAAGTAATAGACATAGCGCAACTATTAAGTGAGTTTTCTTTTTTCCATGAAGGGAAGGTATTTTGCTGACCTCTGGCAAGCTGTATTTTCATTTCTGCATTTATTTGTTTGTGGGATAATAAGCTTTCCATAAATTACACTATTATTGATTTTTTTGGGAGATGGAGGCTCTTGCATTGTATGGCACATACACAAATCAGCTTTGAACTTAAGTCATTTTAAATGTCAGCTGCATAGTTCTATAATGTACTAGGACTTGATTACAATTTACAGCATTTTCCACAACTGAAGGATGAACAAGGCTGGAAAAATAAAATACCCTAACCTTCAGTAAGGAAACTGATATAAACAGATTGCTGTAGTCACTGGAGTTTCCTGAAACTGTTGGGAATTTAATAGAGCCAAAGCCAGGCTGGTCTCATATATCATTCTACTGTCTATTCACAGTAAATCAAAGCAGAACTGAGATTTGTTTTAATGATCTGGCAATAATTTCTAACAAGTATTTATAAGCTTTGCAGTTTCCCTAAGGGAAAACATTGAGTAAAGGGATTTCCTACATTTGTAATAATGCACTAAAGGAAATCTCAGTCTTTCTTGCCATGTATTCTGGATATTCTTGTTATATTTCAAACTGTATTGGAAAGGGGTAGTGGTAACTATGGAGTGCATGTTATTGGAAGGACTTGGAACTATCCATGATCACTACTAAACTAAGCCTTATAGTGTGCATGGGTTTAACTGTTTTATAGATGGGAAAGTGAGAAACAGAGAGAATTAAAGCGACTCAGTACATTAGAGCAAGTATTTATCTTTAAAAAACTTGGCTTTAAGTCACTTTCTCAAGATGCTGGAGCAGCTCTTCCCATAACATTAGCAGCTCTATTTTGCATTGCTTACTGAACTGGAATTCACCTTACCTTGCAAAGAATTGAAAATTGAGAAGAGGTACATGAAAGGGAGATTTAAGGGGCCCCAAGCAAAAAAGGCAAAGCCCCATGTCATGCCCAATAGGAAAGTCAGGCTGATCACACTACGGAGATTCCTCAGGATCTCTTCCCGCAAGGTTCGATTTGTTCTCTTCCCATTTCTTCCACAGATCTGCACCATCACCACAATAAACATGGCGATGTTCATAAGAAACATGATTCCGAAGTAGCCAGCACAAGTCACATAAAAGACAGTGCCATCTTTGATCCAGCAGCTGTAAAAATAACAAAATGCCATCTTTCTTAGACACTGGAAATTATGCTCCTCTTTGGTTATTTTGATCAAGATAAGCAAGTTTATTCTATATCTACCTTCATTACTGCACATTTAAAACGTCTCCTGTGTAACAACTCAAATCTTTGGACATTTTGTTTCTGTAACCAGAGTAGTACTCTGGAGCCTCTAAATGTCAGTGTGGGATACACTGGTATCTTGCCAGGAGCATAAAGGTTATACCTACTTTTTTATAAGACTCATTAAAAAAAAATTACTGACTTTTAACATACAGATGTAGCCTGAGGGAAATGTGGCCCACTCTTGCAATGCTTTTTCTTTATTTGAAATATATGATATACATGAAATAGGAATGTTAACATTTATTTGCTTTCAGCAGTATAAGTGATATTTTTTACACCAGTTTGGGTCACAGATAAATTCTTTTCAACACTTTTAAAAAGATTCAACTACAAATAACTTAGGAGATAATGACCTGGTTTTCTGCTTGCTTTGATTTTGCACTTACAAGCTTTATGAAAGCAGTTTGGCCACTCCCAAATTATTTGCCAAATGCATACATTGACTTGTAATGCTTTTAAAAATTACTTACAAATCATCTCCTCCTTGCCCCTTAGCATCTCTGCCATATAATTGTTTCCCATAGATACGACCTGCACTTGTATTTGTGCTGGCTAAAACAATTGCCACCACTAGAGCAGGTAAACCTGTAACACAAGAAAACATTATGGTGATTTTCTTTTCAAAAACTCTACAAATGTGAGACCTCTATGCAAATCAGAATAACAGATAACAGCAAGAGCTGCAAACTTTTGTATCAGAATAGAATATCTTGATGTAGCTATATAATTCCAGATCTCTCCATGTCATCCCACAACATAGAGAAAGGACACAAAATAAATAATTACTCAGTAAGCCCTTACAAATCTCACTGCAGTCAATGGAAGCTGCAGGTACACAACACTGCATACATGTCATACATCATATATCCGACTTAACTTTGGATTCACCAAGAGAAACTCATGCCTGACCAACCTGATTGCCTTCTATGATGAGATGACTGGCTCTGTGGATGTGGGGAGAGCAGCAGACATGATATACCCTGCCTTCAGCAAGGCTTTTAATACAATCTCCCACACATTCTTGCAAGTAAGCTAGGGATGTAAATATAATTTTAAAATATTTGTTTATCCTCCTTTAATTATATTGGTCAAACAATTAACTGATAATACAGCAGCTCGACAGGGCTGCTGTTGGGAGCCACTCCTAGCTCCTGGAGCCCTCTGACTGGGGAGGAACTGGAGAGGAGGCAAGCCCAGCAGGACAACACAGCCCATGTGAAACTGTCCTGGAAGGGATGAAGCACCTGTGGACCAGCAGCTAATGGCTTAACTGATGAGTCATTAGGCTGCTCTCTGTTTTTCTTTTAGGCTAGGGGTACTACACCCCTCTAACCTCTCTCTCTCCCCTTCCTCTACTCCTTACTCCTCTCTCCTTCCTGCATGCCCTGCTAACTTCTGATTCCTGCTAGGACACCGCATGGTTTCCCTTCCCTGCTTCTGTGACTGTGCATCTGGCCCAAGCTAAGGATAACCAGTAAGCTAACCCATTATCACTGCACTCATCGGTTAAACAATTAACCATTTAACCTTTCACATCTCTGAAGCAAGATAAGGAAGTATGGGTTGGATGAATAAACTGTAATTACTCTTCAGTCATAGGGGGGCATTTGTGTGTGGGCTAGAGGTGGGCTGTCCACTATGCCCTGTGCCCTCTTGTCTTTGCCCTGGGAGCTGTGTGCTGGCTGCACCATGCGTCTCCTGCCTGCCCGGTGGTGAGAGGCACAACATGGGACTGGATGGCTCCTGGGGCAAAGGCAGCAGGAGACAGAGCCCCGGCTGGTTGCAGGCAGCCTGCCCCAGGTCCCATTCACCCCTGCCCCAGACCCTCCTTCACCATAGGGGCTTCAATCTGCTCACCTGTCCCTTCCCTCTACAGACTTACCTTTAGGGAGCCATGTGTGCATGTGTCTGCCCTTCACTCCCAAACCCTGCTGCTGCCCCTCACTCCTGACCCACAGTACCCCACATCCTGCCAGGGAGTGTGGGGACTCCCTCTCTTGGTTCTAAGCCCCCCCCCACACCCACAGCCCCCACACCTTCACAAATTCCCCTCCACACCCTCACCCTCCAACCATACAAAGTACCTGTGTAGTTTTTCATAATTTTGAGTTTTTCTGTGTATAATTTTGTGTTTTTAGTTCGCGCAACTAATCACAATCAATTTTTTTTAATCGTTTGACAGCCCTAGACTAATTTTGATTCAATTGGACTGTGATTGCCACTTTAGTCAGGAGGTTAACTGTTCTGTGTTGCTTTGCAGTATTTTAAACACAAAAGACAGAGCCAAATATATCCAATACAGAAAAAATAAAGAGCTGTCTTGCTTCATGAATCCTACAGTGATTTTCCAGCAATACTTTTACATGTTAAAATATCTTAAGACTGGAAAGATTACTTGTGGTTAAACCACTGTACCAACATTGAGAAATTTTGGTTCAGTTCCTAATTCTGCCACAGAATGTATTCTTTGGCAAGAAACCTTGGATTTGATTCAAAGTCCACTGAAAGTCAATGCAAAGGAGAGACTGGATTGGGTCTTTAATTTCTTTGTATTTCAGGCTCTACTGATGGAAAGGTAATACTTCACCTTTTGTGTCTCATCTCTTGAGGTTTTAGGCTCTTCATGACAATGGCTGCCACTTATGTATTTACCCTGCACTTACCACGTATGGCAACATCCACGTGAGCATGGACATTTGGTTCTCCAGGGACACCTAGCAGCTGGACACCGTGTGCTGCTGCTGCTAGTTGTCCTCAGGGAATGCCTGTGCCATGTGACCTCTGGTGTGCAGCAGATTACCATGAGTGGTAGAAGAGGCTCGGGCCAGCACTGGGCTGGCCCTAGCAGCCTTATCTGGGGTTCTGGGGGCTTCCTGGGGCTGCAGCAGTGGTAATCCTGCTGCTTGAAGCATGGGCAGCAGCCAGAGCATGGCTCCAGCTGGCCAAGCTCCAATTTTGAGCGGCGTGTGCTGCCCCTAAATGTGCCACTCTACTCCTTTTTTTTTTTTTTTTGCATGGGTTT